TGTTGCAGCCGTCACTCATAACATTTTCGACCATTTGATCTGAGATCCTTTTGGATGGATTCTATCCATTTTTCCGACTCAAAAATTAAATTTGATCATATTTTTAATCAATTAAAATGGGGTAAAATGGTAAATATCTATTAAAATAATTAAATAAAAGGATAATTGAATAAAAAATTTTAAAAAGGAAAAGAAAAGAAAGAATCCCTTCTTTACCCAACCCCCACCCCACCCCACCCCACTCCATCCCATCCACCGCAAAAAATCACATCATTAACAAAGATTTTCATTCCACCGTTCTCAATTCCAGACTAAGAAATGGCAATGGCTGGCGCCACCGTAAACCCACTTCCTCAATTGTGTCCTTCATCCTCTTCTTCACCAAAAATCTCCCCTTTTACAAAGATAAATTGTCCCATCAATTTCCCGAGGAAGTTGGTTTTTTAAAAAAGCAAGAAATCAATATTTTCTTGTCGCTGCACCAGCAATCACAATAACAATAGTAACAACACCAACACTAGGAGCGATTACAGTTCTTATTCTTCTACTTGTTCTTCATCATCTGCTGAATGGGATTGGAATAGGTGGAATCGACATTTTTTCTGAGATTGAGCAGGCGGAGAGTAAGGGGAAATAAAAGGTTACCTTTTTGGAAGGGCCTCAATGGTGGTGGAGGTGATAGTTGCTATTGGATTGTTGTGCATCGATTTCAATTTTGAGAATAGAAATGAAGGGGGATAAGGGTGTATCTTATTGTAATCGAGTGGCGGCGGCGGACGGTGGCAGTGGATTTTGGTAGGGGTGGGGTTTGTTGATGAAGAAGGTACTTTTTTCATTTTTCATTTTTTTAGTTTTTGATCTAAGGTTTTTTTATTTTATGGAAAAAAATATATTAAATTACTGTCTTGCTCTTTTAAAATTGATTAAAATGTGATCAAAATCAATTTTTTAGGTCAATTGAAGGAAATCATCCAAAAGACCTCACATACAATGGTTGGAAATGTTATGGGTGACAATTGCAACAAATCAAATGTTTGAGAAAAGTCTGTTAATATTTCAAAGATTTGAGACTTTTGCTGCAATTATCCCTAAATTATTCTACACACAACCAAATAAAATATCCTTACTTTTTAATTATACATTATCCACAAAATACTATTTCATAACTCATTATTTCCAAATAAATTCTATCAATGAGGCACTTAATATGCTCTCTTGGAAACCTAAAAAAGTTGGGTCAATAGGGGTGCAAGACTATTAAACTTTTCTTTTACATTTTTGTTTATTAAAAGTATTTTTCAATCACAATTCTTCATAAAAAAATATTTTCTATATTTCTTCGTAATTTTTCCCATTTTTTAATCACATATTAAAAAAAACTTCTACACAAGCACTAAAGTACGTGATTATATTTCAAGAGTGATTCACAAAATTTAACTCCATGGCATTTTATAAATTTTCACTTCTTTTCTTAACACTAGTCTATGGCCCGTGCAATGTGGTTACGAAGGTAATGTTAGCGTTACAAAAAAAATCTCTCCCCTTTTTTTGATAGTTTTTTCTTAACCATTGTATGCATAATAAAGCTTTTTTTTCATACTTAATAGTCAATGATTTGGACAAGCTGTACTAAAATTATGCAATAAAAAAAATAAGAGCTTAAGCTTCAAGTATATGTCATTTTAGAAATAAAATCACTTAATAAGAATGAAGGAAATATAATATTGAATAGAGCTGTCCGTGGGTCGGTTCGGTTTGGTTCTGAAGAGACCCGAACCGACCCAAAACTTTCGGGTATTTAATAAATGGACCCGTCGGGTCCAAATATAATTATGGAACCGTTCGGGTTCGAT